TCGGCCAAAGCAATTTGGTTTAGAGTCGAAATACAAAATGTTCGCCATTAAACTATGTGATAAAGGAGTATCTGTGCATGTTCATTAAAGATAGAGCTTACGTGTGACTCCAACTCCAAAGGATTAATAAGTAAGAATTCCAAACGCAAAAAAAGTGGAAATCACTGGCAAAGTTGAAGTTCAAGTGCCAAAAGTTTCAAGCTTGTGTGGCTTTCCATTGTCATCTTAAAAGATGAGTTTCTATTATAAGCAAATTTCAAGCAACTGACAAGATTTTCGTTACAAAAAATTGCCTAGACTAGTAAATTGGGGCTTCAAAATCATCTGATGTCTTCATAATACTTCAATCCTTGTCTTAAGTTCCACGTGTCTATGACCGGCAAGTCTTGAAATAGGGGGCATTTGTAGGCATTTAAAATTGGGAAACTTACACAAATGTCCCAAATAAATCTCAACTTACCAACCTCTAGCCATTAGTCATAGACTTACCAAAACTAGCCAACAAAAATTGAAAAATCAAATAATAGGGTTCTTTCTCTCAAAGAATCACATGCAAAAATCACCTTTCATATTTTTAAGCGTGATTAGCAACATTAGATACAAGACGGAAAGAAAATTTCATGGACGGGGTAGCAAATAAGGTGATGAAATATAAAAATCTATACAATATTCCAAAAATCTAAACAAAAAAGGAACTTTTTCAATGGGTATAGTTGAAATTCATTGAAAATATATAGATAAGTCAATATACAAAATTTGAGGAAGATTAGAGGTGATTTGGACTGGTTTTGTATCAAAATTCGTAATTAAATCGAGTTGAAAAGTCTTCTGCGACACATGTATCAAACATGTATCACGCATGTATCTCACACACATGTATACATGGATATACATGTGATACACAATTGATACAAATATGATACATATGTGATACACAAATGATACACAGTGTGATACACATATCATTTTTTTTTCATGTTCAGCTTTTACTTCGAATTTTCAATTCAAACCACCTCAAAAGTTCACCAAATCATCCCAAAACTGAGATTCAAGCTCCTTAAGTTGTGCCCAATTTTTTCTAATAACACACACTCAAAACAAAGCAAAAATTTGATATTTTTTTTGCTACAAATAGCTAATTGGCTAATTTGGCTAATATTAGTAATATTTTATCAATTGGCCAATTTTTGTAATAAGCTACTTATAAATGGACATAGCTGGTAATTTCCCTTTAAAATTTATCGGAATTAAGTGCGTGAAATAATTTGGACTTTATTTTAAATTCAAGATATATTAGTCCAAACAAATATTATGGGCTAATATAATTGGATTAATTATATAAGTCCAATATTATTGGGCTAGCCCATTTAATTGGGCTAAAGTGATGAGCCCACTTCATTAAGCCCAAGATGTCATCTTCTTAGAGGTCTAGTTTGGTGCCACGTGTCAAATGACGTGGCGCGCCAAGTCAAACGGAAGAGCCAATAGGATCATGCCACGTGTCAAAATGACAAGGCATGCCAAGTCACACCAAAAGGCCAATGAAATCGCGCCACCTGTGCAAGTGACATGTTCTGGCCAATCAAATGCGGTCATGTCACACTTCAATTTAATTGGTCGGAAAGAGTTTGTTCTTATCACAACTCCTCCCTTCCACAACTATAAATAGGGGTCTTCATAACCCAGAAAAGACACCAGAAGTTACAACAAGAAGCAAGAGAGAGCTCGTAGATCAAACACCGCAAATTTCTCTACAAGTTTCAAGCTTCAAGCAATCAAGTTCAAGTTCAACAAATCAAGTTCAAGCTCAAGAACGAAGAACAAATCAAGTTCAAGCTCAAGAACGAAGAACAAATCAAGTTCAAGCTCAAGAACGAAGAACAAATCAAGTTCAAGCTCAAGAACGAAGAACAAATCAAGTTCAAGCTCAAGAACGAAGAACAGATCAAGGTTCAAGGAGTGCGAGTTCAAATCAAAGTTCGTGCCAGTTGAATTCAAGATCATCATTCGTGGCAACAAACATAGATACAAGATCAAGCTCAAAGGCCCTTGAATTTATTTACAATTGGAAAAAAGAATCAGAGGATCCGTAGAGATTGTAACACTCAAATATTTAAAATAAAATACTATGATTGTTGCGATATTTTCGGTCTTGATTTTATTTTCTCGACGCAAATTTATTGTCTACGGATCTGTTTTGTCATCTAATAACTCTTGGTGATCAAAGTTTGAATGAGAAAATTGTCGATTTCATTGGTGATTCAAATATGAATTAAGTGTTTCAAAATTTTACAAATACACACCCTCTTGTAACCTGACTACTTTCATGGTGGTGGTTATTTTATTTACAGTAACCCTTTTTAATTGTTTGTCTAATTGGAGTTGTATTAATTCATTGTACTTCACTTCAATGTAGATGGAGAATTCCTAATCACATAAAAATATTCTTTCGTTGTATGGAAGAGGGGTGCATTTATATATATATATACACTTCTTTTTTTCTTTTTTCTTTTTTGATTGCACATCTATAAATCCGATTGGCATTTAATTTCTTAGAGTCCTTACTTTGAGAGTAGCTTCTCATATAAAATTAAAGAGATGCTAATAAGTAATTATGTGTTTCATTTTTAACTAAACAATATAATCAAAACCAGGTAGATCTTGGGGGGCTAGACCAAACTATAAGAGGTCAACCCGGACAAGCTTAATTTTCATGTTCATCTTTCTCTCTAACCATCCTTTTTCATAGGTTATATTTATATATTATAATATTAAATATACATAGTATTTTAAACTTTTGATCATAACTAATAATGAAGCGGAAAATATAAAAATTTAACCATGGAAAAATTAGTTAAATAGTATGTACTTCTTTTGGTCCTAAATATATTAAGTGGCTTTGGAAGGTTGAATTTGTTTCACAAATTTTAAAATTTTACAAAATAAGTCATTTATTATTTTATTTTTTGCAAATCCGTATAGTGTTAATTACGTGGGACGTTTAAAGGAGAGATACAAGGCATTTTAAAACAAAAATTCTCATAATTAGGATTGCTAAATGTATTTTTTAAAGGTGTCCAAAAATCTTGAAAGACAAACAATATGGAAGGAGAATAGCTATGGGTCTCGTTTGCCTTATTAAAAAATTATCACATATATTATCAATGTTTGGTGTTGTAGAGAATTAATTGCTGCATTACTAACACAATATTTGGTCAGTGATCATTAAACTTATATCTACACAAGTTATGCGAGAACTTGATTATTATGTTACACATAGCGTGAAGTAATAACACGTATATTAACAGCATAAATAAGACTAAATTTAAAAAAATACTTTAAAAGTAAACAATTTTAACATAACAACGTGAACACTATTATATAAGTAACAATTATCACATTATTATTCACCATAAACAATGTCTATATTATAGTCATGCAATAATAAGGACATGAATGGAACAATTTCATGTCTCACGTGTTAAGACTCGAATTTCCAACTGTATAAATTGGCTTACCTAACAACCCAAAAGGAAATCCCAAAAGGAAAAAAGAAAACAAAAGGCACCAATTTGGAGAAAGTTGAAGAACCAAAAGTGTAGAAAACCAGACAAAGCGGTGTCAAAGCTGTCATAATTCAAAGTAGGCGAAATACATAAACGGCCCTTTTAAATTGTCCTCAACGATCAGCCAGACACCTCAACTGACCCTTTAATCATCTAAACACTTCAAGTGACTATTAACTGTATCAAATAGACATCTCATAATGACATGGCAAGTTACACGCATTTTAGTTACAGTTGAGCGCGTGAGACTTTTATCAGACTTGTTTTCTCTTATTTTAGAATTAAGTTAAATTTTATACCTGGGTCCCACACCCCATTATCATTTTTGCCCACACCTTTGAACGATCAAACCAGTGTTTTTCACCCAAATTTCATATGAACCTTCCTCACCCCAACATCATTATCTCCACCACCTTCCACCATAAATTCACCACCTATATTTCAACTTGGACGCAAAAAAACTATTAAAAAAAAACAGAAGCTCGCATCTTTCAACTGTTTTCAGGTCAGCAAAACAAAAGGCTGGTAACTTCAAGTGGCCTCAGTTAGAGTCTGGAGAATCTCGACCAGCAAAGAGCGAACCATCTTTGTCGGACAAGGATGAGCCATCTGTAATGCATTCAAATGACAAGTTATTAGCTGCAGATGCGAGCTCTTCTTCCTCACTTGGACATGCCAATAGTGAAGACTTAAGATTGTCAAGTCAAACTGCTGATGAGATACAACAAGAACAGGTAAATAAAAGCATGTCTCATGATCGACTACTGTCTTTATCTGAAAACTTTGAAGAATTTAAAGCTGATAAAGAGGCGAAATTAGAAGAGTGGTTGGGAGAATAAGGAATTTGTGAAGTCTCATTTTCTTTTCTTTGTGGCTATTGCTCTATAAATCGTTAATTATTGGAATATTTTCTGTCCTACAATGGCATTGGCTCTATTAAATTAGGGATGAGAGAGAGATAGGAGGTGAGAGGGAGATAGGGCGGAAGGAAGAAGAAGAATAATAGGTTTGGGCTTTGGGAAAGGTGCCGGTGTGCTTAAAATTTAAAAAGGTTTTTTTTTTCTTTTCTTTAATGTATTTCTTTGTTAATAACAAATATCAATTTTTTAAATTACAAATTACACGTGTCATTGTTTAATTGGTTCATTTGACACGTTATTGGCAAGTGTAACTCACGCATCTGGTATGCTGTACTCGGGTGTCTATTTGATACAGTTAATAGCCACTTGAAGTGTATAGATGATAAAAGGGTCAGTTGAGGTATCTGGCTGACCCTTGAGAACAACTTGAAGGGGCGGTTTATGTTTTTATTAGTACTGTACTCTCCACTTTTAACTACCACCGGTTACCGGTTGGCACACTTGAGTCCATAACAATGGGCGGGGCGTGAAACGACATCGTAATTTCCATCTATATATGCATATTTATTTATATTCAATTCAATTCAAAGGTGTTTGGTGAACAATTGGTTAGATTTGGAAAATCTGACATCTTTAATAAAATCCTCTAAGTTTATAGATATTCCACTTGTTGTGCAAAATCTATCAACTTTGTCTAACGTAATTGAGGTGAATTTGGGTGTGCAGTAGCAGGGCAGAGATGGGTTCAGATCAGAAAGTACATGTATTTGAGGAGGTTGCCAAACACAACAAGACCAAAGATTGTTGGCTTATCATCAGCGGAAAGGTTAGATCTTTATTAGTTCCGTCCTGTTCTTTTATATCCTGTCAAATAAATAACCAGTGAATACTTTTCTTAGTGGTATTATTATTCTTGATGGGTTTTGTTTTATTTTCGTNGCTGAGGCCCCATATTGACTATCATGAGGTCTTTTCTGTAGTTGGTGCAGTCATAAGTTTTTTACCGATTCATTCTTCCATGAATTGCTGAAAGTGAAAAGAAGTTCATCAAAATTTAATCGAAACATATAAGTGAAAATGAAATGACTCTTCAAATAAATCAAATTAACGAGTTTTTGTCTCTCGAATGTCCAACTGATTAATTAATTCTTTATCATTTTATGTGAATTACTTACAAAAAACAAATCTATATTTTGTATGGTTCAAGATAGAAAGAAACAAATCTCTATTTGAAGTAATCAATAGCTAATCTTTGAATCCTTAATTTGTTGTTTACCATGAAGTCTTGGAGAATTAATTGTGTTGGATGCAATCAAGGAGAGAAAGAAAAGAAAAAAAGGATAAAAGAGAGAATAGGAAAGTTGAACGTACAATAAGAAGAAAAGGAAGCTAAAAACAAAAATAACTTACATGACCATACAGTCTCGAATCAAGGCACCAACACTGAATCTTGACCATGGGTGCCAACAGTACCATATAGCAAAACACCTAAAAAAATTACACAGGACATTTACATTATTTGCAAGCACCATGGGTTCACGCGCCCCACACTTCTTAACGTGGATCCGCCACTGTGCACTCATTTGGTGCTAATAGTGTTAGTTGAAGAGTTGAATTCTGAAACTAAAACATAGACAGAGATTGATAGTATTAGACAAAGTAATAACTTTTTTCTTCAAATGCTTAAGATTTGTCTTTTTTCTTTTGAGAAAGGTAACAATAATCAAATGCTTAAGGTTTATCATAGTAACATAAATTGGAAGGTTTCCCTCGGGGCTGGGAAGAAAAGGCAGGTGTCTAGGTAAGTGACTTGTCCCAGAGAAATTAGCAGTTTAGAACATCAGAGGTTGATAGTAGAGATAAACAACTGAACTTCAAATTAACGATTTCTTCCCGGTTGGCAGAGTTACCCGGTACCTGTACTGTACTGGTGGGAGAAACACGTACGTGGTGAAATTTATGCAGAGGTGGATAAATCCAGTGTTCTTTTTCTTTTTTCTCTGGGTCTAAGGTCAGCAATGACNAGATTTTAGGTCAATAGACAATAAGTAGGTCTACGTATACACTACCTACCCCCCCCCCCCCCCCAACAACAAACAAAACTAAGAAAGAAAAAAAAAAGAAAAAAAAGGTGACTGGTATCACATATTATGATGGCAGGCTCGTTACATTGGCATAAAACCTATACATACATTCACATCGTTATAAGTGGATATACATCTGAAGCTTAGAGACATTTTATGTCTCATTTTAGCCTTGTGGTGTGAATGAGCCATTCCATTCCATTCCTTCAGCTGGTTTTTTGGTTATTATTTTCTTCTTGATTCCATTCTCCACCAAATAGCTTTGAATGTTAAAAGACGAAGTGACATGTTCCAAACTTCCAATGTTCTGGTGATTCAAAGAAGAAAATCTCTAGCCACATGAAGCATGTTCAGTCATGTATCTCAGTGACTCTTTAACTTCTGTCACAGGTGAAAGCTTTGTAGGAGTATGCTTTATGCAAATCAGACTTACATTCATGGAAGATCATCCAGGTGGTGATGAAGTTTTGCTTTCTGCAACAGGTAATGCCCGAGTATTTCACACAGTTTATCTTGGTTCTAACCGTAGATAAAGGCTTTCTCTATGCGTTGGTTTCTGAAATGTTGATTGTCTGACAGGGAAAGATGCAACAAATGACTTTGAAGATGTCGGCCACAGTGATGATGCTAGAAAGATGATGGATAAATATTACATTGGAGAAATTGATGCATCAACAGTTCCCTTGAAACGTACTTATGTCCCACCACAACAAGCCCCATACAATCCAGACAAGACTCCGGAATTCGTTATCAAAATCTTGCAGTTTCTTGTGCCCCTCTTGATTTTGGGTTTAGCTTTTGTTGTGCGACACTATACCAAGGAGAAGTAAACCCTTTGCATTCTAATTTGGATTGTCAGAAAAGTCAAATGAAACACCTGGTTTATAGTTCATTATGGTGCTACAATATCTGAACTTGATTAATTGTACTTTGTATGAGTTGCACAGTGGCCATTTGTAGTGCATCCTGTAAACAATGAACTTTACCGAGCTTATGTTTATGATGATATTTGAGATACGCCCTTTTTCATTTTGAATAATTTCTGCACTATAACAGTCTCTACTAGGAATTAGCTGTAGACAGCCTATTGATTCGAAAGCTAAGTTTGAAATTAGAAAATGATCTCTGCCCATGCCCTTAGAGCGAAGACAACTTTATTAGAATGGACGTAAAATGGCTCTTTTAACCGTTGAGGGCATTATTGGGGCTACTTTGGTAGTATATTTGCCTGCTTTTGCATCATGAGAATTAGAGCCCCGAACTGCAGCTTTTCGTTTCTCTAAATATTCTATTTCAATTCAGTATGACAATATTAATGTGTAATCTGGAGAAAACGTAGATAAGACCAACAATATGTTTTAACCCGACATTATTTGCGATAAGACTGGCAAGCGACGAGTTCATTTTCTCACACATCATTTATGCCTGATTTTTTTAGAATATCAAGTGTAAACTAACTGTGGTGCAACTCAGCCAATTCACTAAACAGTCTATCCAGCCAACAATTAAACGTAACCAAGGTAATCCTACCCCACCAAGACTGGTGTAGATGCATAGTGTTGCAGTTAGAATTCAAACATAATCTGAAGCTACTCTGGCTGGAAACTGTGAAGGGTTACTAATATTGTGAGATTAATTGCTCATGCAGTTTGCACATTTGGAAGCTTGGCCCTGGTGGTCTTTTCATGTAGGCGTCTAACAGCTCTAGAAGATGTTCTGCCACTGGATTTGAGGTATGCCCGAGTTGCCCGCAAAAGGGATAACAATGTCAAACTCTACAAGGCTTTCAATGTTTCTGCCTTGCAAGATATAGCGGTTCTTTAACACATTAAAAACCACAATTCTGTGCGTCTCAAAAGTCAAACCAACCAGTTCACATCCACTCCCACCCCACACCCCACACTCCTTGACCCCAAGGAAGCTGGGCAATGGGCACAACATCTCCATTTTAGTTTTCCTATTAGAAATACCCTATAACTATAAGCGTTAAACATGAGGAACTTAAAATATATATATATTGCGCATGGTAGCCAGTCTGGAACATAGGCTTTCTAATAATGGCTACACTGAAACCGAGCAAATACCAGTGCTAGTACGCGGCAGAGTTGATTGTAGATTTTTCCCAACTTCAGAACGTACGATCTCCGACCCAAAAAAGCAGCAACAGCAGTGTTCTGACTTGTCAGATACTGTCCTTTCTCGCCACAAAAATGTGACGACTTGAAGAGCATCCATTCATGAATGCTGAATTTTGCAAAGAGAATAAATTAGTGGTATAAAATCTTGGAAGGCACTATAACAAAGGTGTCTATATCTTGTCATGGAGAGTGACCACCAAATAATGGGCATCATAACAAAGGCACTACAACAAAGGTGTCTATATCTTGTCATGGAGAGTGACCACCAAATCATGGGCATCATCTAGTAGCTTCCATACATCAAGATGACCAGCCATGTTATTGCACTCCCTTAAAATTTCATCCATGCTACTATACTTCTCAATGATTTGTTTCCTCCTCTGTAATACAGATGCTGCAATTGCATAAAGCAAAAGATCATCTGTTGGTGGGGCTCGCAGCCTAATCCTACTCCATGCAGACTTCCCAATCCCTGCCCTAATAGCAGCCTGGTCTGCCCACATTACCTCCCATAGGCAGAGTGTTTGCTCAAAAGTTAATTCCCTCCTGAAGAGCACTACCACCATCCTGTACACAAAAAAGCAATCCTCTGCTTGGAGCTTCTCTAAGTGTCTATAGAGATGTGAATCCTTATGTTTGATAATTTTAGAAATAATATTTAGTTGCCTCCTAATTCCAACCTCATCAAGCCTGAAGTTATGCCGAGCCTTCCTCATGAAACCGACGAAGCACCAAAAAGCTTCATGGTCCTCTGTCATCACAGCAATAATGGGTGAAAGCAAATCACTCATTCCCTGGCAATAGCCAATTTCAGGGTCATAAAGCGCATATGCCTCAAGAATGGCAACTAACCGAGCAGCATGGAAGATCCTTGAGGGCTCTAGGTGATCATAGTCCTTCAATCCAACGGCTTGCGCAGACCAGCGTGCCCGGTCATCTGATACTCCTCCCCCCTGAGCTGGGAAATATGCTACCCATTCTTCATTAGCACGAACTGCGTCAACCCGAATTATTCGTTGCCATGTCGCATAATCTTCTGCATTGCAGGGCTCTGGCTGGACTTCTGTCTTCGAAGGAGAAGTGCCCTTAGAAGGCACCTCAGATGTATTCTCGTTCATGCTTCCTAACAAGGGGAAAGTATAACTGACATCATGGTCTGCAGAGGAATCTGAATCCGATGACTCAGAATCAGAGACATCGTTTGGCTCCATGACTCGTTTGGAACTGGACAATTCTTCCAATATTATACTGCCCTGATTGTCAGAATCTTCAACATATGGGCTCCTCTCCCCACTAGAGAGGGATTCCAGGGCACTAACAACATCTTCATAGTCGGGGAAATCCATTCCTTCAATGAGATTTCCACTATGTCCATTGCTTCCAATTCCACCAGTGTCTTTTATTTTAAAGGTTTCACCATTGCGTCTCAGCAGTTGGCAGCACTTTCTCCGAAGCCTCTGGTATTCCTTTCTGCATTCACATATTATGCACCAATAAGGAGTATGGACTATGGAGTCAAAATATAAATTTGAACTATAAATAATAGAAAGGTGATTATGAGTCAACTGAATAGACAAAGATTAAAAGGACTTTACACTTTGATCCAGGTAGAGCAGATGAATTTGGCAACAGTACCTGTTCTTTTTCCTTATAGTATCTCTTTCTTTTTTGGAACTGTCCAAGTGATAGCTGCAAAGACACGTAAAGAATAATTATCAGTGCTCGCCCAAGACTTCACCGGTATAAAACTTGACTTATGAAGTATAGAAATGCAAAGGCGAGCGGAATTGCTCTACGAGCCCTCCAAAAATATTAACTTCCCATCATTTCATCAAGTTATTAAAAAAAGAGAAGCTATATAGAGCCTGTCCTTTCTCAGCAATGACCGAAAGGGACAAAAGCAATTCAGAACCCACCAAATCACCTATGAAAAAAGCTTTATTCACACTTAGTGAGCAGAGATTAGTTTCAATCATATAATCTTCCATAGCAAACAACCCAAACAGAATAGATCAATAGAAAAAGGGAGCCTACAATATGTAAAACAGGTCCACAAGAGGATTCATTAAAAAAATCAAGTAGAATAACTGCAGTATTGATCTCACTTACTATGCAAACGAATTAATTCATAGAACTCATAGGAACTTTAATGTCATCTATCTGGAAAACGGAACTCCGCCATCTCCTAGAAAATAAAGCAACTAAAATGGACACCAAAATGAAGCGAAAAGGGGAAAGGGTGTGTGCAATGAACCAAATTCCATGCCAATGTTAATACTAGAAACCAGTATGAGGGGGAAAAAACTTACACCCCAAGGAGGAATGGCCAAACCTCCGCCCTGATACTTGGATCAACTCCCTGCATAAGAGAGACAAGTTAAGTAAACAAACCCACCCTTTGCATGGAAAACAAGGAAGAGAAAGAAAGGAATATGGTAAAATTTTGTGTTGTTAGGTTTGACAATAGAGGAAAAAGATTTGGACAGAGGTGCCCCACAAGATTCTCTTTCCCTTTAGAAAGAAGAAATCTACAGAAATTTTGAAAAGTAAAGCAATCTACAGTTTCACCATTTCCCTTCTTCTTTTGGACTTCAAACAAAAGAAAACCGTGTTATTTCACATTTAACCAAATAAAGGAAAGAAAATCATTTTTCTTATAGACTCCCTCTATTCAGTCCCTTCATTTTGCTTCCCTTCCCTTTCACATTTTCAAACAAACATTAATAGTTTTATTATGCTTTAAATATGTAAAATAGGAGTACATGGATATATGGAAAATGTGATTCTCAAATTTCAAGGTGCAGGAACTCACTCCACTTCGGACTTTCTTTAGAAATTTAACTCCTCCATTACGAAGCTTTCCATCAGGTGTAAAAAAGCTTCTCCACTGTAGGGGTGAAAGAACATGTTTTCTTTTTCTACGGGACCATGGTGATTTGAGATGACCTCTGAAATGAAACACCTTCATGATTAAATATTTTGGAAAACTACAACTACATGTCAAGGTAGCAACATTGGGAGATCAAATATATTCAGCATCATTAACAATTACACAACTTCAACTATCCAACTATAAAAAGGAAACGCATAAAGGTGACAGGGAAAAATTGCTAACATAGATCAAAGAGAAGGAATTAAAATTACCAAAACTCCACAATTGTTATGTCTTGGAGATGATTAGCTTATACAAACTCCTTTTCATCTTCTTAGTGCATTTATTTGAAGTAAGAGAAACTCAGCCAACAAAATTGTCATGGAAAAAAATAAGATAACTATAAAGATTTGAATCGTGCACTAAGAAGTACACTGGTTGAGTTGAAACTAAATCATGCAGAGTTGAAATTTATCTAACAAAAGGTCGAGCCGTAGTACACTGGTGATTAGCAGATTAACCCAATTCGGCTTTTATCCACATAGCCGAGCAACTAAGAAAAAGATCAACTTGAGGATATCACAAGGATACAGATGCAACCTATTTCGACAATTTTATCCACAAGCTGAGGCTGAACAACTTGAAAGTAGAGGGGCGGCAGAAAACAAAGGGTTCAACAAGAATGTATTTGATTACATTACTGAGCACACAGGACAGCTTAACCTATAGATATACTTCTGCATAGGTATTATCTTTGACTGCTGTGATTTGCAATATTTAGATGTAAGTCTATTCATGCATCTTTTAAATCGAAACATCCTAAAGCAAGCATCGCTAGTTACCTACAAATAAAATTTTGCAAGAAACAGAACTGGAAGGGAAAAGCAATCTTCTGCCTGAAACAGCAATGTGAGAAGCCCAGTCATGCAGTTCAAACAACACATTGCAAAAGGCCATAACTGGTAGAACTCATACTAGTTTCCTTCCTTAGATGAGTCTTATTCAACCGTCTACACCTATGGACTTGGGATTTATGCCAGTATGGATGAAAACTTTTCTGCCTTTAACATAGAGCATCAGATTCTGCTAAGCATTTACCAATTGATACCTCAGATTTCACGCGAAAAAACACAATCAGAAAGATCCCTCAAATAACAAATCAAAGAAACAAAAAGAGCTTCATAAGGAAGAACATCACACCCCCATTCTGAAAGAGCCCTTTTCATCCAGTGGAAACAAAAAAAGAGGTGATCAGTGTACCCAGTTAAAAGTCTCCGCCTAATTGTCCGAATTTAAGCAATACGAGTACAGTGAATCTTTTGGATTGTATGCTTTTGCCGCTGAATTGATCCGCAGAAGCAAATAGTAGTATGGTTTTCTGAACTTAAAGGATGTACAGTCAATCCTAATTGCATCACCCAAAGAGGAGGGAAGGAAAAATGAGAGAGCAGCAAAAGGTCAAAACTAAATCTTATGCCTTCAGATTCTTTATTGAATAAATTAGCTGAAAAATATAGACTACAGCCAGCAAAAAATCAAATAAAAAATGTCATCACATTATCACAAGGTAAAACAATTGAAATAGAGATCAGATGTAAAGTTTCAACCTTTGACTAATATAAATCAAGATGTATTACAATGACCAGTTCAAATCAAAGCGCTACGAAGATATCCAAGCTGAAAAAACAAAAGCAGTAAAACAATCACAAATACAAATATAATCTATCTACTAACACTATTAGACATATATAAAATGGAGGACAGCGGAACTGAGCAAATGATCTAGATCTGATAGAATAACACTAAACATAACTAAAATGCTAGATGAATCGGAAAACTACAGTTATAGGAAAACTGAGAAGCAGATCGAAGAATAACTGAGATGTAGTGAAAAAGGTGAAAGAGAAGGGAGGCTCACCGATCAGAGGCAGAACAGTAAGCTGGTGAGGAGGAAGCAACAACAAATAGAACTGATCGCAAATGAATCCACGACGATGACGCTGAAGACGACGGCGATGGTGAAGATGAAGACGGTGAAGGAGAATTTGAAGACGACGAAGTCTGACTTCGTTTGAGAGCTTTCATTTACAAACGATTTTTACTCTATAAACAGATTTCTAGGGTTTTCAAAAACTATGATAATGTAATGTCCTTTACGGTAAAAATATCTTTGAAATTTCAGCCGTTTTTTAATTTTTTTACAAAGTAGAATAGATAAGGGCGGCGGCCAATGCGAGTCCGGCCAAGGCCGAGAAAGCAAAAACTACTCCGGCATTTGAAGTCCGGTGGTTCAATCAGAAACCACCGCTGCTGCTGCCGTTACAGTTAAAAACACGACGGAGGTCAGTGATACAATTGATTCAACAAAAGCATTAGGAGCAAAAGAGGTGAAAAAGAGGAAAAGCATGGAGCAGAGATAAAGGAATAAGGAATGTCGATTATGCCCTTTTCCACCATAACACAAACACACAAAACTGAAAATGTTTTGTCCTCTTTTAACTGCTTTTGCTTTTTGATTTTGCTTTCATTTAAGAGAGATATGTCTTTCTTCAAGATGAGTGAGGCGACCTAAGAGTCTCCTAAGGGGGGGTTAGAGTGGATTGTCTATTTTTCTTTTGTACTGTACCTACTTGCCTAGAAAGTAGAAAAAGAGAGATAGTTGACGCTGGATCTGAGATTGTAGAATTGGTTCCGTGCCATTGTGGCGCCTAAGGTCGCCTCTTTTGGCACGGATGTGATGCTTAAATTAGGTGGAAGCTTGGAAAAATAAATACATAAAGAATGTTTGAAGTTGAAGTTTTTAGTTGAAAAAACAGGGTAATTGATCCAACTATATTAGCCAGAATTATTCAGGTTCCCTCAACTTGGTAATTTTTGTTTAATTTTTCGTTAAATTTTACGTGATCTTTAATATCCCTTAAACTTGACAATTTCATAGCTTCGACCCCCCTGGACGCTCACAATCCATGGGAGTGTGACACACTGCCAAATAATTTTTTTGTCCATGTGGTTTTTTTTACAATAAAATATATATATTTTTTTATCTTTTTAAGTGCACCAACTATTTCAATCATTTTTTTGGTGCCAAAATCAAGATAAAAAAACTTGAAACAACATTATTTTGACAATAATATTTTATTTAGCTAAAGATAATGATATTTTAATCAAGTTACTTTTATATATTTGATCAGAAAAAAAGGAATACACAGTTAGAACATATTATTATTGCACCTAAAAAATATAAAATTAAAACTACATTGTTGGAACTCCATATATTGGCTAAATAAATTTTTAGCTAAGAATAGTAAAATTCTGATCAACAACAACCCAGTGAGATCCCACAGATGCGGTCTGGGGAGGGTAGTGTGTACGCAGACCTTACCCCTACTCCGGAGGAGTAGAGAGGCTGTTTTCGGTAGACCTTCGGCACAAGAAGGAAAGAGACATTGTATCAGTAACAGCAAAGGAATCCATAAAGATAACACCAACAACACAATAACAAAAAATAAAGAGCAAAATAATAACACTGAGCAGTAACAAAGGCACAGTGTTATAGACGCAAGGGAATAATATGTACAAAAAGGGCCACTAAAAATACTACAACCTAACTTACGACCCTAATAAAGTATTAAGAACACAACTGGAGTCACTAGCAACCTAAAACAAAACACTATCATACTAGCCTCCTATCTCCTAACCTACAACCCTAATGCTCGACCTCCACAACTTCCTATCAAGGGTCATGTCCTCGGAAATCTACATCCGCGCCATATCCTGCCTGATCACCTCTCCTAATATTTCTTAGGCCGCCCTCTACCTCTTCTCATACCCGTCAAGGCCAGCCATTCACACCTCTTTACCGCTGCATCCAGGCTTCTCCTCTTCACGTGCTCGAATCATCTAAGCCTAGCTTCTCGCATCTTGTCTTCCATGGGATCCACGCCCACCTTCACCCGAATATCTTCATTCCTAATCTTATTTAGCTTAGTGTGCCCACACATCCATCTCAACATCCTCATCTCTGCAACTTTCATCTTTTGGGTATGAGAATTTTTGACTGGCCAATACTCTGCACCATACAACATGGTCGGCCTAACCACCACTCTATAGAACTTTCCATTAAGTTCTGTAGGCAACGTCCTATCATACAGGACACTAGACGCTAGCCTTCATATCATCCACCCCACTCCTATACCGTGTGTGATATCCTCGTTAATATCCCCATCCCCATGTATAGTCGACCCCAGGTACTTGAAGCTCCCTTTCTTGGGGATGACTTGAGAGTCAAGCCTCACATCCATGCCCGCTTCACCCGGCACACCGCTGAACTTGAACTCCACGTATTCAGTCTTAGTCATGCTCAACTTGAAACCTTTAGACTCAAGGGTCCGTCTCCAAACCTCCAACCTCTTGTTAACACCGCCTCACGTCTCATCAATCAGAACTATATCATCAACAAATAACATACACCATGGCACCTCCCCTTGAATATGGTGTGTTAGTGTGTCCATAGTCAGAGCAAATAAGAACGGGCTGAGAGTAGATCCTTGATGTAGCCCCATAACCACCGGGAAATGCTCCGAGTTGCCCCCTCACTGTCCTAAACCGAGTCTTAGCTCCATCATACTATCCTTAATCACCCTAATATAAGCTAGGCATCTCCAAAGAACTTCCCTAGGTACCTTGCCATAAGTTTTTTCTAGGTCAATAAACACTATGTGCAAATCTTTCCTCCTATCCCCGTACAATTCCACCAATCTCCTAACAAGATGTATCGCTTCCGTAGTGGAATGACCAGGCATGTACCCAAACTGGTTAACGGATATCAACACCAGCCTCCTCACCCTCGCTTCCACTACCCTCTCCCATACTTTCATGGTATGACTCAGTAGCTTGATGCCCCTATAGTTGTTACAGTTCAGGATATCACCTTTGTTCTTGTATAGCGGACATCGTACTCCACCTACATTCCTCTGGCATCTCCTTTGTCTTGAAAATAATATTAAACAGCCCAGTTAGCCACTCCAATCTTGCTCTACCCACATACCTCTAAAATTCTATTGGAATTTTGTCTGACCCTATCGCTCTGCCCCTGCTCATCTTACACATAGCCCAGACAACCTCCTTAACTCTAATGCGCCTATAGTAGCTGAAATTTTGGCGACACTCGGAGTGCTCCAATTCTCCTAGCACAATGTCTCTGTCCCCTTCGTCATTCAGCAGCTTGTGGAAGTACGTCTGCCACATCCGCTTAATTTGCGCGTCTTCCATTAACACTCGGCATTACTCGTCCTTGATGCATCTCACTAGGTCTAGATAACGAGTTGTCTTATCTCTCGCCTTGGCTAGCCAGAGCAACTTCTTTTCTCCGCCTTTGTCCCCCAGTTCTTCGTACATGCGACCAAATGCTGCATTCTTCGCTTTCGTGACCGCTAACTTCGCCACCTTCTTAGCTTCCTTATAACTTACTCTTTTCATCTGCCTCTCCTCCTCGTCCGTACTCTCCACTAGCCTCTAATATGTCGCTTTCTTTTCCTCCACCTTACCTTGGACCTCAGCGTTCTGCCATCAGTCACCCTTGTGCCCGCCCGAGTAACCCTTCGAGACCCCTAGCACCTCTCTTGCCGCCTCCTTAATACTGTTTGCCTTCATCGTCCACATATCGCTTGCTTCCCCACTACTTCTCCAGGCCCCCAAAGCCAACAACCTTCTCCCCAGCTCGTGAGCTTTCTCCTTTGTCAAGGCACCCTACCTAATCCTCGGGAAACCCCGAACCACCTTTCTCTTCCTCCTTATTGGTATGCCGACGTCCACCACCAAGAGCCTATGTTGGGTCGCGAGTGACTCACTCGGGATAACCTTGCAATCGTTGCACAACCCTCTATCATACCTCCTTAGGAGAAGATAATCAATCTGAGTCTTAGCCACCGTACTCTAAAAAGTAACCAAATGCTCCTCCCTCTTCGGGAACATAGATTTCGCAATCACCAACTCAAAAGCCTTAGCGAAATCCAATAGAGAAGTTCCACCTCCGTTCTTAACCCCAAAAGCCAAAGCCGCCACGAACCTCGCCATAACTACTAGCAGATGCCCCGATATGTCCTTTGAAATCCCCTCCTATAAATAACTTCTTCGTGGGCGGAATACCACGCACCCACTTCATCCAAACTCTCCTAGAAACACCTCTTAGCCTCTTCATCCAAGCCCGTTTGGGGAGCATAGGCGCTAATGACATTTAGAGTGAGCCCTCCAACCACTAACTTACAACAACAACAACAACAACAACATACCCAGTAAAATCCCACTAGTAGGGTTTGGGGAGAGAAGAGTGTACGCAGACCTTACCCCTACCCCGAAAAGGGTAAGGAGGCTATTTTTGGTAGACTCTCGGCTCAACAGGAGAGACAATAATTTCATAAAAGAAATAAAAGAAAAGGCATGTAACAACAAAAGATGCCAGAAAGAAAATAACAACAACGAATAAGTGAAAGAACAATAACACAAAACTATGAAAAACAACAATGTGAGCACAACATAGACCGCTAGCAAACCTAATCAAAACTCTATCAGACTACCCGGTACAAAGAGGGAAAGAACTCTCGACTACCCCTAGCCTACCATCCTAATGCTCGACCTCCACTTATTTCTATCAAGGGCCATGTCCTCGGAAAACTGAAGCCGCGCCATGTCCTGCCTGATCACCTCGCCCGAATACTTCTTAGGCCGCCCTCTGCCTCTTCTTGTACCTGCAAAAGTCAACCGCTCACATCTCTTAACCGGTGCCTCTAGGCTTCTCCTCCAACCACTAACTTAATAACCATTAATCTATCACTCACCCCCTAAACTCAACCACCGACTCCCTAAGATCCCTGTCCACTAAAATACCCACTCCGTTCTTACCCTTCGAGCGTCCAAAGTACCACAGTTTAAACCCATCTGCATTCCTCGCCTTCGATCCTACCCACCTAGTCTCCTGAACACATGCTATATTGACCTTTCTCTTCTAGAGAATCTTCTCCAACTAGACTTACCCGTTAATGTCCCTATGTTCCACGACCCAATTCTCAACCTATAAGCACCCTTGTCCCCTGCCCCACCCCTATCCCCTGACCTACCTCTGCCCCGCCTCCCGCCCCTCTCGAGGACATGACCTTATTCTACCATCACAGATCACCGCCAAAACAAGCGACGACCAAATGCAAAGGGAACATGTTATACTATAGGCCCGCTAAAATAATTCCTAGACTAGTATCAACTAATAAGACAACAATAAGCTACCACAAGAGGAAGGGAAACAAGAGAACGGGAGGTACCAACTCCCGAGAACAGAACCTGGATCAATGTACTGCGCTCCCTTCCAAATTCCTGCCATCCCTTGCTAATGCCAACCGGAGGTGACCCGTGCTGCATGCCCAAATACCGCAACTATCCACCTGAAATTTTTAAAAGAAATACGAAAACCAAATGGGGGGAGGGGGTGTTGTCACCACTGTACCTGGTGACCCACTGTCTGGTAGCCTTGGCTACCCAGTTTCACGACGTAGCAGGCGCTGCTTAAAAAAGCCGCTGAACAGACCCAAAGAGGCCGCAAAAAGAATAAATAAAAAGGGGGAAAAGAGAGAGGAATGAGGGAGGATGCGTAGAGGAGGGCCGCCGGTCGAAGGTATCACCGAAGAGGGGTCTAGGGTTTGTAGAGGAGAAAAGAAAGAGAGAGAAAGGGGATAGCAGTC